GTAATTCATCCTGATCTTTGTACAGAAGTGATAAAATAGATTCAATGAGTATCCAACAGCAATATTAAAAGCTGGTTTTCAGATAAGTTCTGTGTATACTTAGAAATAGGCTTCACAAGCCTTACATTTTATTTTTACCTTACAAGTAAAATATTACCTGAAAATAAGTCAGTATGAGCCAGCCAGCTAAGGACACCTAGCAGAGGAGAGTACTGCCCACATTCCATAGCTGTTATTCAAGAAGGAGTCACAGCAATAGTCTGTGTTCCAATCAACCTTCTTAAATAGCTACATATGGTGTTGGTTGGTTTGGGTTGTTTTTTTATTTTCTGTGTTCAGCATTAAACGGGAACTTACATAAGCCATACTCAAAAGAAGATTAATGAATATCTTATTTTCTTGATCCTAAAAATGCATAAGATGAACTTAAACAGTCACCTCGCATAGCAAATTCTTTCTATATTAAAATTTTAAAAACATTGCCTATTGTGAACAGATCAAAGTGATAGGAAAGGAGGATTAATACACATGAATATATTGAAATATCTCTTTATAAAATCTACTTTACTAACACATTTTTTTATTAGCAAAGATAGTGAAAAAGCAACGAGTGTGCAATGCTCACAATTTTTATATTAAGAACACAGCAAAAGATATGGGGTTGTGTTTAATTTTCTACAGAAAATAACAGTATACCTGATTTAAGTTAGGAAGCAGCAGATAATTTCGCGATCAAAACCCCTTCCTTTAAAGAAAAAGAAGAAAATTCCTTTACACTTATTGTCATTATTAACCCACTCTTTGAAAGGTTCTTTGTAGAAAACCTCTCCATTTTGGAAACTCACAACATGATTAGAACTTAAGAAATCGTTTCGTTTTCCTACACCTAAAGACAGCAATTATTAAAATTGGTGAAATATTTCAGAGAGGAGAGCAGGAAAAAAATACTGGAAGATGAAACTGAATTTTTGACACGACGGCTTAGAGTCGGGGAATGTAAATGTTTGGAGAGAGCAGAGCTCATACGCAAGGAGAGCGATTCCAGCTCTCGGTGTTGTTGTGTTTGGCTGCGGGAACGCCTTGGCGCTTTCTCCGAGCTCCCTCTGCTGCGCGGCCGCCGCCAGTGCAGCCAGAGCGGCCCCACCGCTGCCGGTGCAGCCGGAGCGAACAGCCGCTGCCAGTGCAGCCGGAGCGGCCCCACCGCTGCCAGTGCAGCCAGAGCGAACAGCCGCTGCCAGTGCAGCCGGAGCGAACAGCCCCAGAGCGGCCCCACCGCTGCCAGTGCAGCCGGAGCGAACAGCCGCTGCCAGTGCAGCCAGAGCGGCCCCACCGCTGCCAGTGCAGCCGGAGCGAACAGCCGCTGCCAGTGCAGCCAGAGCGGCCCCGCCGCTGCCAGTGCAGGCAGAGCGGCCCCACCGCTGCCAGTGCAGCCAGAGCGGCCCCACCGCTGCCGGCCCAGCCCCGCCGCTGCCGGCCCAGCCCCGCCGCTGCCGGCCCAGCCCCGGACCGGCCCCACCGCTGCCGGCCCAGCCCCAAAGCGCCGCGCCCACACACGGCTGCTGCCAAACGCCACCGAACAGGGCTCTTTCTCTAAAGCCACCCGAGAGAAACAGAATCACGCCGGACACACCGCCCCCAACCACAACCCAGCTCTGCTGCTCGAGGTGGTGCTTCTGAAAGTGCATCCTTCCTCACTGCAGTGGGAAAAAGCTACACTTGAGGAACAATCCCTACAAACAATCAAAGCAGTGGTCAGGCAGCAGACATTAACCATTTAAGAAACGAAAGTATATACAACTTTATAATATTAATTAAAAATGTGTTTTAACAGCAAGGTCTCAAAGCTTCCATCTTACAAGGAGCCTTTTCTTTTACCAGAATGCAAATGTTGGCTTCACTTTTGGCAGAATTACGTTTAAATTTAATTAAACCATTCTACATCTGATTCTCACTTGTAAAACATCTTGCATGACTCCTCATCAATGCTCAGCACTAATAAACTGCTTGTTTATAAGATGTTTAGGTGCTGTGCAAATGAAGGCAAGAATTGTAGAAATCAGGAATATGGCTTAGTACAAGCATGACAACTATTCTTTAGGGATGTTCTATTACTCTGAATTGGACTGTTTAGACCTTGATTTAGAAAAATTCCTCTGAATTATGAGTAAGAAAGTTCTGAAACAAACAGTAAAGTCTCCCTTATACATAGGACTCAGAACTGCCTCTCCATGTTAGAAACATCACTACTTTCTTAGTAAGTTTAATACTGGCCCAGAGGCACAGTTCTTTAGCTCTATATTCCAATGTCTGAGTTAAATAGTAGGTCTGGTAAGAAACACATCAAATTAAATTCTACTGCTGCTATTTGCTGTGCACTTTGGGTAGTTAAAGAACACTGCCTATGAACTGTAAAACTTCTGGTTATTGTCTGTGCTATTGGAATGGGAACACCAAAGAGCAAACACAAGAAGCTGAATCAAGATCGGACGTGGAAAAAATTTCTTCACAGATTCTTGGGACAACAAAGACTGGGAATAGCAAATTTGAAGGTTTGGGTTTCGGTTTTTGTTTTTTTGGTTTTTTTTTTTGTTTGTTTGTTTGTTTTTTCCTACTTCTGAACATAAATAGATAATGGTCTAGATTACATTATCAACAACTGAAATTTTGTCTGTTTTTAATAATGTATTTCATTTGTCATGTGGGGATTTACTAGTAAAATGTTGCAACACACTCAAACGTCATTCTTCAAGGTATTCCTCTTTTTCAAAGTCTTGGAGACCTGATTTTTGCAATACATCATGGACAGAGACCCATCTTGCTTATTAGCAAGACTGCAACCAAACAACAGGATCAACATCAAAGCTTGGAAATGTATTCCTATCTGAAACATCAATAAGCCAGTAATTAAAAAAAAAATCAACAATGCCAACCAACAAATTGAATTTCTAGAAATCTTCTAGATATCACAGGAGATGAATTTACTTCCTAGTCTAAAATCAGTAAAAATAGTCCTGGCCTTTGAAATCCTGCTGGTTTATTTAATATGGTGTTGCTCCTGAAGAAAGACAGCCTGCAATTTTGAACATCCTGTGGCAGTGAGGCAGAGCATGCCAGCCATCAAATTCTAGTTGTTCATTCCACGGACTGGAAAAATGCTTGCGGTTTGATTTCTTTTATAAGGCCACATTTGAGCAAGCAACATTTATAGAGATGACTTACCTAATTGGATTCAAAGAGTGATTTGCTATCTCAGCAATAGTTTTTAAATGTACAAATCTAGACAGAGAGGCATTTTGTAAACAGGTGTGAATGACACTGCTCCATCAGGCATTAAATTGGAGTAGCTCGTGAAAAATTGTATCATTTGTGCATTTAAGTTATCAATATTTTACCAATTGCAGTATTTTCACACCAAATATTTTTTGTGGTCTACAGCCAATGATTTTTCAGCAAAATCTCTCACCCTTCAAATGGTGGCATGAAACAGCCTCCTTGTGTGCTTCTCATATCTCTGAGGAGATCAAATTTATCTCTGAGGAGTACCCGAGCCTTTGAAACAGACAGCTACAAACCAGATAATGACAGAGGGAAAACACCTGCTAGTTACAGGCAGTTTTGCATTTCCAAAGGAGCAACAGCTGTGAAAAGAGGAAACGATTTTACCTCCTGAGAACTCTGTGATACTTGTACGAAGTTGTGCTGAGGATGTGATCGCCGGCCCCGGAGAGCCCCGGGATGGCCGCTCCCCTCAGCCTTCACCCCTGAGGGCAACGCGCCGCGCTCCCGGCTGGGGGCGAAAGTTTCGCTCTTCACAGCTTTTCCCTCACACTCGGGTGTGAGTTTCATGCTGCAGAAGGAAAAAATGTCTCAGTAGGTCAAGAGCAGCGCATCCTACTGGCTCTCGACTGGGCCGGGTGGGGACGGTCCGTGGTGCCCTCAGCCTGGCCCGGCCCGTCCGTGGGCGCGCCGCGGCGCCCTCAGCCCGGCCGGCCCCGCCGCGGGAGGAGGCGGGAGCCCGCCCCTCACAGAAAGGGCAGCGCCTACCGCGCTGCCCCGCGGCCGGCCCGGGCCCGGCGATCCCCGACAGCGATCCCCGGGCACGGCTCTGCTGCAGAAAACACTCCTGTTACAGACAGGCTGCTCTGTATTCTCGAACTGTTCCCCCCTGCGGACAGGCACACAAACTGTTGGAACGCTGAGGAGGGATTCAAGTGTTGGCCCCACACAGGCAGGCAGAGGGTTATGGCTCAGGTTTCAGTGGCACTTCTATAGGGGAAAGACGATCACAGAACAGTCAGGGCTGGAAGGCATCTTTGGAAATCATCCAACCCGCCCGCCCAGGCAGGGTCACCTGGAGCAGGTGACACAGGAAAGCATCCAAGTGGGTTTGGAATGTCTCCAGAGAGGGAGACTCCATGACCAACCCCCTGTAGCTCTCCCAGGGCAGTGTGAAGTTCTTCCTCATGCTGAGGTGAAACTTCTTGTGGCCACTGCTCCTCATCCTGTTGCTGGAAACCACTGGAAAGAGTCTGGTACCATCAACTGGCAACCACTTTGTAGATGTTTATAAGCGGTAATTACATCCCCTCTCAGTCTTCTCCAGACTTAACAGGCCCAGATCCCCCCATGTCTCCTCATCAGAGAGATGCCTCAATCATTCCCTTAATCATCCTTGTGCCCTCCACCGGATCCACTGCAGGAGCTCCATGTCCCTCTGAACTGGGGAGCCCAGAACTGGACACAGCACATCAGATGTGGCCTCAGCAGGGCCAAGAAGAGGGGCAGGATCATCTCCCTCAACCAGTGAAGAGAATGGTTTTGGATGTGCTGACAAAGTGAATCATTAAATAGATGAAGGACTTGAAGGAAAAAGATAAGTTTTCATCCATAACTAGTGAACCTGAGGAGAATGGAAACAACACAGAAAATGGACAGCAAAGGCTAAATAAACATCAACTGTTCAGACAGTTCTCAAATTAAGGTCTGAAAGACCTGTACTCTTTAAGTAAAACATCATTTTTATTTGTTTTATTAGAAACATTGCACAGAGAGGCAGAGCTTTTCACAAGCACCTGTGAGCCCATTTCTCCCTGGAGGGTTAGTGTCTCTGGCTATACACTGTTAGGACCTTTGGCAGAACCAAGCACAGCTGCCAAGAGGGGCATGCACAGCGCAGGGGAGCAAACTGCAGCAGGGCTCTGGCAGGAAAGTGCAAGTCAAGGGTAGCTAAGAAATTCAGGTTTTCTAGGATTACAGTAAAATGAAGAGCAAAAAAGGCATTTCTTTGGACTTGGGTTTCTTCCATCACAGTTTTCAGTCCTCTCCACCACACAGGTTCAGCAGTGCCCTCTGGTAATCCCCTTTTGTGTCTTGCTGTAAAGCAAGGGAAGAAAAATACAAAATACGTATCAGAAAACAGCCCGAAAATGTGAAAGCATATAAATTATATTCTAAACCTGTGGGACAGTCTGTGATTCACACTGAAGCCTTCTCAGCCTGGAGGACTATCTTGACTGAGTTTTACTTATGTGTGAAGTGAAATTATTTAATCATTCTTGCAATACAAATGCAAGGCCAAGAAGAGAGAAAATTGGGTATGAAAAACAGTAACACGACAAAGAAAAGCTGAAGGACTTGATTCTGCTCTGTCTCACTAATCACTGCAAAAATCATACACCAAGGGCACTTGTAAAAAAATTTGCTAATAATCTACAATTGACACCTTCAGGAAAAGATTCTGGGTTAAGATTTTGACTCAGCTTCATCTACATAAGGAATAATGCAGGATATGTTGTGAGGGTGAAGATTAGCTTTGAAACAGACACACAAGCTCTTTACCTACGCCCCAAGTCAGACAAAACCTAGCACCTGTAGCTCCTGTCTAATCACAGAAATGGACAAAAGTCACTTGCTCAAGAGCCTTCTCCCTCAGCACTGAAATGAAAGGGAGTAGCAACTTAGATGCTCTATTTTCATTCAGCAATCAGAGAACTATTGACTCTTCTTTTGATCTGAGGTTAGGGACTGGTGAACAGAATTTTCTTTCAGAACATATCAGCTGATTGCACAAAGCACACTGTCAAGAGGCTGACAGGAACTGTATCAGCTGTAGACTGTGAAGATAAAGGTGAATTTTCCCACACTACATAAATAATAAAATACTCTCACTGTGGCCTCTAACACACCTCCCATGAATTCTAGTGGTACCATGAATCCAATGAAGACTGCTGCAAAGGCCCATGATACAAAACCTAAGATGAAAAACTTGCCTGGATGAAATAATAGAGGGATTTGCCATATTTCCTCTTGAATTCACTCTTGATTTTCAGCATGTCAACCTCGCAGCGGGATACCATAATCCTGATCAGGACCTTGTCCCGGGTTCCCTTGCCCTACAAGCAGACACACATTCAGAGCTGCAGCAGCTGAAATGTTACCATTAATTAATGGTAGGACAGCAAACTACAGGCAAACAAGACAAGCAACAAAAGATACAATGAACAAATCTTCTAATGAAGGTCATTATTATGATCCAAGAATTTGAGCATGAATGTTGTCCTACCTCATCAGCAGTGTTTAACCAACTTGCAGTCACAAATTTAGCTTAGACTGTAAGCAGCACTTCTGGCTCACCAGGTCTTCCTGGAATCACCTAATGCCTGTCACCAGGTGTTTCTCTTTCATTCTGTTTCTTCACAATATGTTTTGAGGCCAATTGAATATCTTATTTTGGTATTCAATGAACAGCTTTTTCTCTATCAGCTCTTGGTTACATGCAAAAGATGTGTCTAACTTTGCTAATTATAATCAACTGATCTAATAAAGATCTTTATAATGGGACCCTTTCCTACATTTCCCTATACCAGAGGAATCTGAATAGATAATCCAGGCTCATTAGGGTTAAAGAAAGCTTTTGAACAATATTAGGTAATTGTTAATTTATTCACATGCCAGTCACATTTCATATAAACAGACGTGCCTAAAAATGACAACAAAAAAAAATAGTAGAAAGAAAACCAGTCTTTCCTACCTTCATGGAATCATACAGTCTGTCTGCAAAATACAGCTGCTTGTTCTGAATGCACTGGACTGAAGAGAGAGACAAGAGTAGTTAAATATCCTGCCCATGCACAGGACACAGAATATTTCAGCCATTTTTAAAGGTATTATATATATATATATAGTTAAAATAAGGTTTTCATCAGAAGTTCCACCAAAAAGGGGACACAGAGTGTCAGAATCTGTGGTATTGATGATTCCGAGATTGTAAAAAGTCTTTGTCTTTCTGCCCCGTTGCCAAAGAAGAAGTCATAATTCATCTGTGCTGTTTTCAAGGTTGTTTATTCTTGCTTATCTCTAACATGTTCTGCTGCCCTGCCACAGGTCTGTCCTGCAGGGCAGCGTGTGGGGCTCTGCCCCTCAGTGGGATGTTACAAACATTATATACCAGAAACTAGGTGTGCTATATTTACAATAATGTGCCAATATCTGTCACCTACGTTGAACAGTGTGTCCCCAGCCTAAACCAACAGAAAAATGCCAACACTACAGTGAAACATGGAGGGCATGAAGAAGGAGAAAAAGGACAAGACACACCCAATTTCCTCCATCTTGTCCCCTTTGAACCCCTAATCTAGAATCCAAACGTTTTACTTTTGCACCTGTGCCACATTTAATTATTACTTATATCAAACACTCAGAGCTTGTAATTGATCCTGTAAGATTGAAAACTCTTCTCCATGGACAGAGATCACAGACAGTGTCTCTCGGGGCTCTGTACAGGGGGGCTCCTGACCCCTGCCAGGGTCCCAGGCCTTCCAGAGCAGCCAGAGGGAAGCCCTGGATTCCCACAACAGAGAAAATATTTTTACCTGACCTGCTACTTAGAAGTAATTTGGTTTAGCTTGTGACTGAACCATAGATGCTCACATCCTTAGGAATGTAAGCGTTTCATTCTTCCATGAAAATTGCATCATTTCAGAATTGTATAATTTCAGAATGTTAGCCCTCCTCCACAGCTCCCAGTTCATGGTTCCATTTCTAGAAGCAATCCTGGAAACACTCATCATCCATGAGGAGTCTCCTTTTCAAGGCTGAGCTATGTTTATACTCTATTTGCACTACACAGCTCTCAGTACTTCCTTAGTCTAAAATGGATTTTCCCCTTAAAGAACTCCCTCTTAAACACAGTGACATCCTTGTCATTTCACCTCATGGCACAGTATCAGCCTTACACCCTGCCTCCCTATTTCAGAGAATTCAGTGTCAAATCAGCTCTTCAAATAGCCCCCACCACCCCTCACTGCCTGCCTGTCTTCTCCTCTCACACACACACTGATCTTCCTCCAGCCTGTGTGGGTACTGAACTATTTCAACCTTTTTGTTTGTTTGTGGAAACAAACAAAACATTAAGCTTCTCTATCAAATAAAAGTGGAAATAACAGCAGATAACAACACACACACATTTTCATTTTAACTGGCAAATTTTATATCTCGCAGACGACAAAAATAACCTGCAATATCCTAAAATACACCAGTGGCTCCAACAACACCAGCACATTCAGCTAATTTCTCATCCAGCAGGGTGAGTCTAGGCCCTACTTTTATCATGATCCATTGCAAGAGCCCTGAAAAGATTCTATATAAAGACAGTGTTTACTTCAGGGTAACTTACCAAGATTAAGGAAGGCATTCTCCAGATCTCCCTTAACCTCCTTCTTGATACTCTCCAACATATCATATGGGCTGTAGCTCTTGTACCTGTCAAACACTAGCACAGAAGAGAAAGTAGGTGAAATCAAAACCAGACCAAGAACTGGCAGAAATAACCAACCAAAGCATGAACAGAAACACAGGAATGTGGAGACAGATGATTAATAAATATCAATGTGAGTCCTTCTGAGACTCTCAAATACAATCAGAAGTTTGTAAAGATCCCATGCAGAGGACTTTTTGTTTTCCTTGAACACCTCCTTAATCTGGGAAAATGCCATCTTAATCCTGTACTATTATTTTTTGAAACAACAGTGATTCAAGCTCTGAAAAGTCTTCAAATGGCTTTTCCCATGTGCTGCTTTACAGCAATATCAGAGCTGCTTTTGAATCTTCACTGGCAGATTTAAGCACATGATATAGCTAAGTTATCCTGGCACAGAGGTAAAAAATGAAGGATTTCTCAAGGTATCCTGCATCCATATTTTTTAGGTTTGCAACATATATGTTTTCAGTGTATGTGACATGTAATTGAGCATTGTTACACCTATGTAAAAAAGAGCTGTACACACTTAAAATGTGAGATCAACACATCCACAGAAATAACTAGATTTTCTTTAAAAATGAACACCTGGACATGAATTAAGATCTATGAGATTTCCTATGTTTTTCAGTGCTTTTCACAATAATTTCAATTGTATCTGGGACAAAATTGTCAGCATTTTTTTATAACTTTCTTTAAAAGGAAAAAAAGTCTGTCTCTAGAATAGTACCTTTCTGCAGGTGGGGAACACTTCTTTCAGTCATAATGTTGATCCACTTCGGGACATCAGTTCCCTTTCTCTTCACACCAGCATCATAGAGGTCCTGGGATTAGAAAGAAAAAGAAAACCACAAAAAATCAGGAGTTGCACAAGAAGCCATTACAGATGTATACAACATTTAAGGATCTAAATCTGACACTAAGACTAATTGCATTGTATTCACCTCTGGCTACAGCTTTACTCTGTATTTAGCTCTGTTTACCTCAGCAGAACTGCTCTTGACAGATGCAAATGTAACAAACAAGCACTAACAGCCACTGAGCTCACTGTAATGGATGCCATTTCCTTTTGTTAAAGGCTATCTCTCCTCACGTATCTAAAGGAAATACCAGAGAGTTTCTGTATAGGGGGTAAGTACTCTGTGGAAATTGATACCTGAAGGCATCAGGATTGCAACTGGCAGATTCGCTGACACCATAAAAACACTACTGTGCAGGACAACCTGAAACACACACACCTATTTCACAAATGCTCTCTACTTCCACAGTCTGTTTATGTTCAATATCCCCCAAAGCCTGACCAGCTGGAGATATTTCATGGTCATTACCAGCACTTACCCTGGCATCTTGGTCAATCAGCTCATAATCAATCACAGAAGTATCTTCACACCTTTTGCCCTTCAAACAAGATATCAGTATTTTAGAAAGGTTTCATAAAAAGTAATCAGTTTGCTATGCATATATTTCGTTTTTTTCTTTTTTTAGCCTGAATTTGCTAAATAAGTAACTGCATACTCCACCCCCATTATGAAGCTAATGCTGTGAATGCTGCATTTCTGTTAAAATACTTTGCCCTTCAACATTTGAATATTTTTTTCCCCAAGATCAGTGAGAACACAGGGAAGTTTAAGAGTGCATCAGAAACCCAATTGTTTCACTGGCAGCCACCACTCAGGCACATGAGAAAAAGTGTTTAGCTCTGAACAGCCCTACCTTGGCCAGGGCAACCATCAGCTTGCGGAAGTCACCAGATGTGTCTGATATAATGTCCTTTTCCAGTTCTGTCTTGTACACTAGAAAACAAAGAGTTCTTTTCAGGCAAAGGGGTGTCTCACAAATACTCCATTGCAAGAAAAATTACCGTGTTTTATGCACATGAACAGCTACAATCTAAGTCAGGTGTGGAGGACAATGAAAACAAACTCACGCTTCCCTACATCAAACCCAGTATTGCCACCAGTTAGTCATGAGGTCCATGCAATCAGTCTCTCATGGAAGCTTACAAAAAAATTTCATTTAGACATAACTTGTATTAGTAATAAATAGCCTTCAGTCGGTTTGCTACCAGGCAACAAGACAAAACTATATAAACCACACAAATATCCAGTGCACCAGTACAAAATGGCATAGAACCAAAGTAGATTTGAGTTACCTTTTTAATAATGAAATTCACACTGAGGGGAGTTTATCCAAGTAATTTAGTGTAAAAGACCTAGTACACGGAAATTTGCAAAGTAAACTCACTTTCCCTGTAGACTCTGTTGATTTCACTGAGCTCCTGGTTTGTTCGGGAGCAGATGATTTCAATGAGTGTGTCTTCATCAGTTCCCAGCCCCTGCAACACAAACGGGACTCAGTTAGGAGCTAGCAATGAACAGGAATGCCTAAATGGTTTAGAAACATTTTACAGACATCTCCTCTCCCCCACTCTAACAGTTCAGGGATATTTTTTTGCCAACTAATCCTGAGAAAAAACAGATGGAATATTTCTAGTGGCTTAAAGATCCTGTAGATGCTCTCTCTGGGCAATGTGCATCTGCTGTGAGTGTCTAACAGTGACCTCCTCACCAGCATAACTGGAGAAGATCTGCTTATCATGGCCTGTGTGATTTTTTTCTATCCACTGGGAGCACAAGAAGAAACTCCAGTCTCATCCTCCTGTTCAGATGTTTGTTAATCCCATCTGTAACAGAATGCCATTTTGCAGGTGGCAAAAGTGGACACAATTTCCACATGACTTCAAGAGAAGTAACATCCTGGGAAAAAGTCTCATGCTGCAGTCTTGAATGTGTGGAAAACTGAGGCAATTATGTGGCAAAGTACCCTTTAGGTAAAATGTCTCCCTTGAAGGGGCAAGAAAGTGGGACAAACCAAAATATAAAAAAAATAGTAGAGTAAACCCAAGTAATTTTATTAACATGGCTTAAAGTTAAGAGAGTTAGGAGAGCTTTCCACACAATGGCTCTAACAAGCATCTGGGGAAAAAAATGAAGATTAGCAACATATATAATTTTCTAAGTATTTTTGAAATATTTTCAAGAATGTTCAACAGAAAAATAATTAACTCTTCAGTGATAACTTTGCTTTCCTCAATTCTGATGCCAAAGTCATAGCTTGTAATGCTCTATGTATCAAGCCAAACTTAAGCCCAGGCAAATTCAGAGCATTGAGAGTTTTTGCTAATTCAGACCAGGTCAGGAGTAATGGGAACTCCTTAGGAGCTGTGAGAAACAACACATGGAGAGCATAGAATATTCTACATGTGGGACTACTCTGATGAAATACTTGGTCTTTATCCCAGATCCCAGACTAGTCTGAGTCACAATAAATTATAGATAGGCTGTACTCAGACCAGGAGAGGGCAGCATCTGATTACTCAAACAGGGCATTTGGCCCACAGCTGAAGAGTTACCATCTCCATAGTGGGTTGGCTTTTTGGGTTTGGGGACTTCAGAAGGTTTTTTTGAGGGGTCGGGGCAGTGTGTGTGTTTATGTGGTGGAGAGAGTGGTTTAGTTTTCTTATTTGTTCATTAACTCCTTTTTAATCATTTGGAGAAGTTAATTAATTAGTTTCATTGACAAGTTCTAAATTTCAGACACAAGTTAGTACTTGTCTTTAATTCTTAAATAACTTGAACAAGAACATCCAGAATGTACATGATGATTAGATAATTATAACTACAATTTCCCACACTTTAGTTTGCTTACAGAGGTGACTCTACTGGCATGAGCACCTCTCAAGTCTTATTTCAGAGGCCTGCAGAGTAGATATTTCTTTCTGCAGACACTGCTTTTGATGCCCCATCTTCCTCATCTTCTACATAGGGCAGGTCTGGTACAGGGATGTTCTTTTGAGATCAGTGATATGACCAAGTAACTGGAAATTACTGTTTAAACCTATAAATGCCAGCAGAGAGCTGATGGGTCCCGCTAACAGCTGCTCTCTTAGAGGTTTCTCATACTATGAACCTGTGCATTGTCTGTAAGAGCAGCCAGGCAGAGCAGCCAGCTGTTATCCTGAGCTGGCAAGAATGACTTTTTCCTTAAAGAGAGTATTTAATTAAGAGTTTAGAAACCACACAGTTCCATGATTTCTCTCATTTTGGATGCCTTGCAGCTGGATATTTAAACTGTAGCACTAAAAAAAAAAAAAAAAAAATCAGTTTGAAAATTATGATATGAAGTCCATGTTCTTTCCTGAGACAGCAACATCAGATGAACAACAGTAAATTTCAAAGCTTGTTTACCTTCATGGCAGCTTTCAATTCAGAGGCATCATACTGTGCTGGTGTCTTCAGCAAGCCCAAGATCACTGCCTCCAAATGACCTGAGAGAGCAGACTTGAGTGCTGCAGAAAGTTCCTGTAAAATAGATGGGACAATGAAAGAAAAGAAATTAAAGCTCACTTCTGATCTCCAGAGAATTTAACCTGTAGGGCTTTAATTCTCCAAGCCTACAGCAGAGTTTCTTACACAACTAACAAGAAAACAGAAACATGAAGAGCTTTCTGGCTGTGAAAGCCTAAGAAAGAAATTAGGGCAAAGGATTTTTTTTCTAATCCTCTGAAAATAAGAAGAAATGCACCAGTGTCTGACCAAGTGCTGGAAAGCACGGTGCAGACACATCTGAACAGCTTCACTCCAATCCTGAAGCACTGATGCTTTGGTGGAGCTAATAAGCACAGATGGATCTGAGTTTGACTCACTGTGGTCACTGCTTCTCCATCATACTCCCACAGTCTTCCCAAAAGCACTGTATTACATGTGGTTTTCCTCTTATCCCAGCCCTTTACTACTAAGACATTGGAAAATTGACTGCACATTTATTCCACTGTAAGGCCCAGTTCCCAACCAGGTATCTGAGGAGATAAAAAAATCATCCCTGAGCACTGAAAAATGAAGCCTGTCTTCAAGGAAACTATCAGAAGATTGTAGCCTAAATCCCTATTGTTAATTGACAGTCAGCCCTAGGAAAAGAAACAGTCAGGGCTGTTCACTGCAGAGGATGCAAATCTGCACCAAATAGAGGCCATGTCCTCGTATGGTTTTCAGATGCAACCTGAATTATGCTAGTTCATCAGCTGTAGTGTATGTTACAAAGCTGAAATCCCCAGGATCAAGTCTGAGGTTCACACAGATCCATGTATTCCCTAAGCTGAAGTTAAATCTGTAGCATTCAGAAGGGAATTGCTGCATTTCAGTTGCTGGTTTCTCACTAACAATCACTGAGCTGGAGAGGCAGGGGAAAAGGGGGTAGAGAAAGTGACCTGAGCTGAATTGTAGAGAAATTTGTGCCAGAGAGATAATGAGCCAAGGCATTTAGTTAATTTCCAGAGTCACCTACTTAATCCAGGGCACTAATTTATGCTAATACTGTATGCACCTACTGCATGGATTGACCAAGGGAGAGAATGGGGGTTTGGAGCATCTGGCTGCTTTAGACTGAGAAACATTTCAGTACAACCACTCCATGTGGATACAATGCTCCAGCCCTTCTTTGGGTGAAAACACGTTCTTCAGAACTGCCACAGGAAAGACAGCACATTGCCCAGAGAAGTTGTGGCTGACTTATCCCTGGAAATGTTTAAAAGGCCAGGCCAGGATGGGGCTTTGAGCAACCTGATCAAGTGGAAGGTGTCCATCTTGGGCACCTAAATTCCCATCCAACCTAAACCAAGAGTTTCCATCAGACACTGCTTATCTCAAAGGCATTAAAAGAGAGCAATTCTATGTGGCATTTAAAAATTATTATCTATTCACAGATCCTGCAACACACAAAGCAAGCAGCCTAGTACAGCACAACACATTGCTAACAAAATCTGCACAACTGCTGGCAAAGAAAACCATCAGACACTGTCCCTAGAAGATATACCTACGTGTCTTTTCATATCCCACTTCCTCCTCACATGTTTATCTGAGTGGTTTCTACTGCACATTTCCATTGTTTATACGACTTTTATTCTTTGGTACTTGTTAAACTTCTGATAAATTCTTGGGTTGCAGCAAGGGAAAAAAGTGAGAGAGAAAAATGAAAAAAGTTGCAGATTTTCTTGACTGTGCATTTTTGTGGTCATGCAGAACATTTATCAAAGCTTTAAATGACACATTTAATGACTGGGGTCCATTTGCGTGCAGACTGTCCCAGAGCCCCAGGGCAGGATGTGCAGGCGTGTGCAAACATGCACGTGTTCAACCTGGCTGTGCCTCTGCATATGCCTCTATCAGTCATGCAGAAAAGCTGGTGAACTCCCAAATTTAACTCTACATTTACATTTGGGCTCAGATGAGTATTCTGGGATACTGCTTGAGGACTACCATTTGGGGTCTGGCAAACCTGAAAGAGATATATTCATCATAATCTGAACTCTATATAAAGTTTCCTCTTTTTCACTGGCATGAAACTTCAAATATGGTAAGATTCTCAAAACTTCAAAAGAGAAGAGCTCTTGCCTCCCAGACAGCAAGACTCATTTTGCAGAATTCTGCACACATCTTACAGATTTCTCTCCATCAATAGATCAGTACCTAAGGTTTTTCTGCCAGGAAAATTTTTAATGACAGTTCAACTCATTACATCACTACTCCACAGCTGCAGTGCTCGTAGCACAACTGACTGCAGTCTTTTCTCAGCTAAGCTAGCTGTGTGAACAGAAACAGAACACTTCCCTTATGCTGAGCTGTCTTAAAAAAATAAATAAAAAAATCCAACATCCCCCCAAAAAATATCTATCAACCAAATGGAAAAAAAACCCCACCAATCCCCTAAAGCATTTCTCTTTCATTTTTTCCTTCAAATGGAGGCACTTCTCAGTATTTTTAGCACATTTCACCAGGGAATTCTGTGGATTCCACTGTGATTTCTGAAGGTGCTAGCAAACCACCATCTCCAACAGACTGCAGTCCCAATTGTGCGTATTCAACATATTTCAAAGTTCTTCCAATCCTAAACTGTGGCAGCATGGACAAAGTAGATGCATCTTAAATTTCAGTGACAAGACAAACCCTGGCAAATCTAATTGTCCACAAGAAAAATATTCAATAATTACTATTTCTTCGTATTTTATTACCTTTTTGGTTCTCCTCTGATAGGCAAAAGCAATGTCCTGCCTCTGTTCATTGCTGCGGTTTGTCAGGATGTTGATGATGGTGACCTCATCCACACCTACAAAGACACAAGACAGAGAGTTAGAGAAGCTTTCTTGTCACTATTCTTGTATCAGGATGTTCCCCAACACTCCAAACACAGCACATGTGCTGTCTGGAGCAGAGTTCAGCAGCTCTCACCAGTTAGTGTTTATCCTGTCCTGGCTGTGGGGAAAAAGCCACCAATTAGAGACCAGACTTCTGATGGTGTGCAGATCTTTGGACACACCTCAAAGTCTAGTTTGTGACCAGCTTTGCCACTCTGTCTAGTGCTTCACTTATGTGTCTGTGCATTAGTTTTCAAGCACTCAGAATTCTACAAAAAGTTGCTCAAGAACACAGACTTTAAAAGCTGTACTTACTAAAGCCCATCCTGTCATTTTAGTGGAGTTTTTTCAATTAAGACTTCTTAATGAAGCAGTTATATTTTCTATTTAAGCCATTTAATCCATCATTCCAAACATGGAAATAGGAAAATAAACCACTATATTTAAGTCAGTAAGTTTCAGAGGGCCAAAAGACAGAAAGGTATTTTGACACTGGAAGAATTAAGTAGGTGCTACTTCTTTTTGAAATCAATGGAAGATCCATGCCGAGCTGTAACTGGCATACCTAGAGGATGTGGATGCTCAAACTCCCAACTTATTTTTTAAGTAAGTGAACTACACATCAGCAAAGGTTTACTTTCAAGGGAACCATTCCAAACCCATGCACTTCAGTGCAACTGTCAGCTTTTGAAGCAAACAGGTGGCTCTAATCTAGAGGTCAGAACAAGCCCAGATCTTCACCTGAGCTCTCTCTGTTAAATGGAAGTATTATGAATCGCTTCTTCCACACTTGCACACCCATCAGTGTAAAAGATAATTTCTTGATAAAAAACCCCAGAAAGTAAGGATTGGATCAGCAGCTACTAGCAGGACTCAGATCCCTGCCAGAATTCAGCCACATTTCTTTTTCCTATTACCCAAAGTAACCTGAAACAAAGAACTGCAACTGATATTATAAAAAGGATTAACATAAAGTAGGAATCTTGCAAAAAACCTCTTAGCCCATAGCTGCAGAGTCTAGAATTATAAGTTAAGTCCAAAAATTCTCTTTCTTCACCACATTTTTCATGAGGAAATACTACACTTGGTAGCCTCGTGTCCTTAGCTTGTGCTGAAGCAGACCTACATCAGTGCTCTTATTCACACAAGCTTGGCCTGCAAATGATGCCATAAGGCCCTGGAAAGTATAATGTGTCTAAGTTACAGACTGTGAGTTGAAAACAGGCTGACTGCATATTTCAGCCATAATCTACTCCTGCACATTTTAAAGTGTTCCCACATTATAAAAGAAAACAAATTCTCCCTGTCCAGAAACGGCCACACACAGACATTGAGCCTTTCAGCTGTTGCAGGCCCACAGTACAAGCCAATGTCTTAAGCTTTTTAATACATTCTGAATTTAAACCATTCCTGGCATTCAAAAAAGTAAATGACATTTTCAAGTTGTAGCACAATTGCTTCAGATTAGAAGCCCACAAATGACTGACTGCATCCAAGTTTCTCATACACATGCCATGGAAATATCAAGTTAACTCATTGCTCTGGTATCCAGTGGAAAGTAAGGGCTTGTACTTCATTCACACTGGGGAATCGTGCTGCATGCACAGGATGCTGACTCACAGCTGCTGAGGTGGGGCAGAGCAGGACAGCAGCTCCAACACTTTGCTGTTTGCTAAAGTCTCTGAAAGTTTCAAAGCAATGAAACAGAGTGTATTTTCAAGTTTATTCTGGCTAGGCAGATTTTATTCCTACATTTCCACCAATGGGGAATGGAAAGAAAAATTCTGCTTAATAACAGCTTTTCTTGTGAAAGAGGCCATGTGTGGTGGCATTGGTAAGATCACAGTATTGGAGTTCAGTCAGCAAAAATGAGGAAATGAACAAGAATGGAGTCAGAGGGAAAATTTTAGATAAAACAACACCATAATTTCAGCTCTGCTATTTTGCTTAGCAAGGGTTCATCAAACCCAAACCATGTTGTAATGAGATATTTCTTTAGGGACAGTTTAAATATCTGGAATATGTGACTGATATAGTTTGGTGGATTTCAGGCACTGCCCTCTCTCACCAGCAAGCCAGCAAATATCCTCTAAAAACTTTTACTTCATACTCTTAAAAACTCTATCAGAAGTTATGGGCATATACTACATAAACAGAAGATCTAAGATGGAACTGACTGGTTCACATGTCATCATTGTTTTAGCAATTTCTGGATATAATGAATTTATTACAGATCTATGTTCTAAGCCCTTTCCTACAACAAACCTGTGCCTGAACTCTGCCAGCCATGGCATAAAAAAGTATCCCATGAAACCTCAACAGGAGGCTTCAATTAGCAAATATTCACAACCTAGACTGACAGAATTATTTAACAAGTACTTGATACACACAAAGTGTCAGTGCCAGGAAATAACTCTGAAACAGAAGAGACATTTCAGCAGTTGTCTTTGCTACAAGAAAAAAAAGACAAGGAAATCTAACATAAGCTCTGTTAGTGCCCTTCTAGATAGTTTCTTCTGCTTAGGTTCACGTACATCAGCTAATCTATACAAAGAGCATAGTACAGCATTATACAGAAATTACACAGCTTCTTGTCCTATGCAGTAAAAAGCCAACACTTGCAATGGACATGCCAAGGCACTAAATGAATTTGCTGCAGAAACACTAAGGAGCAAAAAAATTAAAACATAGCCATGGCATTTATACTAAAAGGAACAAGCCAGAACTGTAACAAATTATTTGTATTATGCAACCTCTAGGTTGAATAACTACAAGGTTTTATATGACCTGGGGACATTTTTGGACATTTCCCTTCCTAGGCTGGTGGATATATATAAACCCCCTGCATTTAATTCAGCTCCACTCAAAGCCCTGAAAAAGGCCGGACAACATATTTGTGCAGTATAGTTTTTGCAGGTAGACCTAAGCCCAAATAAACACATCAAAGTATTTTCCAGAGGTCTCCACAGATGAACAGATGGCTTAGAAACCTCTGAGGAATTAATCTCAAGAGTGTGAATGAATGCTGAAATATTTAGGTATTACATAGAGCAGAACAGTCACACACACTGCCCTAGATCTTTTCCCTAAAACAAATATACAGCTGTTGTTTAGGCAGAAAAATAAGTTTTAGCCATTTAACACAAGAATTGCTAAAATGGAGAGTCATGACTCTAATACTGGGACTTTTCATTGCCATATAATTACCATGTAATTATTTATATGGTAACTCTCCCAACCTGGCCTGCCCTGATGGCAAACACCAGACTTCAGGCACTGTTTATATAAGCTATAGCCAGAGATAAGATTCCACAAGATAGCATTTCCAAGGCAGTGCTATGATTTCCAAGCTATTGGAAAGACTGCTTTGGTGAGTGTGAAACACAGGCTCATTATAACTGTACAGACCTTGATTTCCAACCCAAAGAAAGCACAAGGGTTCAGATACCAGGTGCCCTTTAACCTGCAGAGAATAAAGCCCCCCAAAGAGTTCTTACATGCTTTTTTTTTTTTTATAATTTTCAACCACAAACCAGCTGGCATATATATATAACTTACCTCTCTCACTGTTTTAAAATGAACAAGTCATATTCCTCTGCATCACTCTGTGATAATTACATGGCTTATTTCTACTTCCCATATCCAATGCAAACTAATTGCTAGAGAAATAGGGATATTTCCTAGGAAAATGGTAGCTGCTGTGGATGTAGCCAGTTTATTATGGATATTTTTAGTTCAAAAACTGCTTAGATATTTCCCAGAATTATTTCAAAACTTGTTCTTGCAGGTAGTTCTTTACATCGCTGTTCATTAAAACCAGTTCTTGTCTGGATGAGTTGGAATTTTCATTTGAAGAAAACCCTACATATATGTTAGAGAGCTCACATTTTATCATATCTACTGAACTAGCAGATGAAAGTATCCTGTTCCAAAGCATTCAAAATGCAAGGAAACAGTACCTGGAAGAAGGGTCATAACTCTCTCATACTTAATTTTCCACAAGAATACTTCCAGTGTGAGATTCTTTAGGGTGGAAATCTGGTATTGAAACCATAAAGAGATTTTCCCTTTAAAGCCACCTTTCCAAATTAAGTTCTGGGTAACAAACTAATAAGCAGAGAGAAGTTCATACCTACAAACATGCAGGTCCATGAGTAAGTTCCTTATTCCCTCAGAGAATTGAAAATCATCTCTTTACTGAAATGTTGCCACGTAACTTAACTGCACTGCTTAATTTGCTGGGAGAAAGTGGAAAGACAACATGAGCTTGACTTTCCTGACTGGAAAAGCTTTTGTACTGCTTAGGAGATTGCAATTTCCTTTTACAATAATTAGCAGCTTGAGAGTTCAAGTCTGTAAGTTTGCACCTACCCTGAGAGTCTCATGGTGTATTTGAAATGTCTAGATTTGCCCGATAATCAGAGCTGCAAAAAATTATAAAGTCTAGACAAAACTCTACATATATACAAAGTATCTGCTGCCAAACCTGATTATATATATATAACTCACTCATCAGGGAAATTTTTTTAAAACAAACCATAAATGATTCAGAATTAGAACTGAACCCACTTTAGTAAGGAATTTCTCTAGTTAAACTAAAAAAAATCTTGTGAAAGAAAGCCTTGTGCTTGTTATGGAGGGGATACATTTTACATTTTATACATTTATAGCAAATCAAACACATGCTTTGCTGGCACTGATGGAAAACTTAGCATTTCTTTCTGATGAGAAATTGTTTGGCTTTTAAATTTCTCTCTGACATGAAGGCAAAAGAGTTGCTGGTTCCAGCTACACCCAGCTCCTGCTCCTCTGGTCTGAAGCAAGTGTGGAAAGCATGGCACTCCCTGTCCCAGGACGGGACCACAGCCCCAGGAGTGCCACCGAGGCATTACTTCAGAGCTGTAGTTCACACTCCCTGCTTTCCTGATGGCTTCAATATACCAGAGGGAAGCCTACATAATATCCCAGCTCAGAGAAGCTCACACTGCCCTGCCCCTGAAATACTGCAAATTCATTTCAGAAACTAGTTTTTAGGACCTTCTTTGACCCCAAATTAATACAAGAGAAATGAGTATTTAGTTCAAAACTAAAAATGTTCAAACCACCCCTATGCAGCTGTCTGGAGAGCTGAAAAGAAGAAGAAATGTCCAATCCAATGATCCAATAGAAAACTATGATTCAGAGCCCACTCCCAAAGCAGTGCCAAAGGAGCTGACGCTTCATTCTCAAGTGGCAGAGAAGAAGAATAATTTTAAGTAGTGATGAGTCAAGAGAGAAAAAGTGGACACTTTCAGTGAAACTCTCAATAACTCATGGCTACAAACTTAAAAGCATATTCAAAGCATGCACTTACAGGGTTCAAACTCTAACTTGGTCAAGACTTCAAGGAATCCAACATCTCCTAAAGTAGGTATCTTTGAGTAAGGATATCAAAATGCTGGTGTTGAGACACAGTTTTGCTCTGGCTTTTGCAAGCCAGCCTTCTGCCTTAGCCCAGGATGGAAGCCCCTGGCCCTGGTGCTCACCTTTGGTCTTGATGGCCGTTTCGAGGGCGGCAGCGTCCCGGTCAGCGTCGAAGTTTGAGTAGGCCTTCACTGTGGCATAGGCACTTGGAGGGAGAGAATGCTGGAAGGAAAAGAACAAAAAACTCTTCAGAGTCAAATTGTGCAACTAATAACTCAATGGTTAAATGCAAGAACTACCATCAGATATCTGTGAAAATGGATTTCTACTCAGAGCCACTGATTTCTCTTCTCCTCATGTGTATTGCCCAGAAATCCACTCACAGCCATGCTTATTGTAACAAAGAATATATACAAACAGATATTATATTGATTGCAGCAAAACCCCAACACCTTCCAAGCTTACTCACTAAACTTCAATATTCTGAAATCTAGAGTTTCCTGGCTAGATCTGAAGGAAAATGACTACAGGAAGCTAATTCCAAGAAAGTTAAAGTCCATGGTAGTTTAGATTTGAAGCTGATATTTTACTTTTGATTACAGGCTACAAATAATAAAGAAAAAAGAAGGAAATCGAAGAATAACAATGATAAAGTCAGAAAAGGTTTTGTGCACTGTCTCATGAACTTTAAAGATAACACCAAAAACCAATCTATTTAAGGCCATAGTTCTAGAAAGCAAAAGTTATTCATAATCTTTTGAAACTCTTGGCCTCCAGATCCTTGTTTTAAGCAGCATGAGGCTTGCAAAACCAAATGACATTTCAAATTACCTCTACTAAGAGTAAGAGGACTTCCAGGTAAGCTCACTTAGCGAACAGATGCAACATTTTCCAATTTACCAGATTTTATCAGCTGTTTATCATGGTCCTCTCCTGAGGATTAGCGCTGCAAGCAGAGGGTGACCAGAACAGAGATTCAACTCTTCTCAGCTGCTTCAGTGTAAGCTAACAGCTTGTTATCACCTCCCAGCGGAAGGTTAAATTAAACCACAGATTTTCATACAAGTAGCTGGGTAATATTCACAAATCCCATTCTGCTGAGTTCAATTTAGAAACCTAAACCTCTGGCAGAGAGGCAGAGCTACTAGCACCTGAAATTGCAACAGCCATTTCCTAAGTGAATGAACAACTAAGCCTTCATGGAAAAGATCCCCAGAGAAACTTTTGTTTCCATCTCTAACTCCAAAAGGAAGCTGGGTTCATGAACAGAACTAAGCTATCCTAATATGCCTGGAAAATTCTTTTACATGCAAATTTTTAAGAGGAGCACTTTGAACTAAAAAATTCCGTGGTTTCTTACTAATTTTGACTCCATCCCTGTAGAGGTCATGCTGTTCTGTACAGATTCCTTTGGCAGCTACCCCTGTGCCTTCTGGAGACAGTCGGTTTTATGCTGTGCAGATGGGAAGTCAAAAAAGCACCAATAAACGGAATCATTTTATTTTGTCCCTTGCCATTAGTTCAGTCCAGCAAAGTGGCCCCAGTTTGGCCCAGAGCCACACCACAAAACACAGCCTTTGCTTTTAGTGGATCAAGCTGGCAATGGAAACAGTAAATGGAGACATGCAACGCAGCCTCAGAGAAACCTGTGTGCCTGAAAGATTCCTGAGCCAGGCATCCACCATCCTGGGGCACTCCCTAACCTGCACTCTGCATCATCTGAAGCAAGTCACCTGGTGACCTTAGCTGAGCTGGGTGCCTCTCCTTCTACCCAGTTCTAATTATTTTCTGAGTGATTTGGAGTAGTTGGAAAAATAGAATAGTTTACTGTAAAGATGATAGCGTACACTAAGAAAATTCACAGCATGTTTGCAATTTGGTGGCCATTTCTCCTCTGTCCCTCCACCCAAGGCATGTATCAAGTCAGACTTGAGTTTCCTTGACACCTGACAGGTCTTATCAGGGTGACTGCCTATGAAAAGCAGCCATTTAAATTCCAAGCTATTAAATTACTCTGGTACACTACTGTACCACAGTACTAGTACTCTATGTTTTCAGACAAGACAGCTTTCAAATTGACTTTCCATTTAGTTCAGTATAAAATTCTTTACAATGTGTCAGTAAAAGTCCAGATAATGTGCAACTGCACCACCTGTCTGGGCCAAGCTAAAGCAGAGAAATTGGTTTTCTCCCTATGCATTTAGTGTGTTTCAGAGGTCCTCCACCTGCTTTACTTCCTCTGAGCTTGAGAAATTTAAACCTATTGGGAAACATGAGGGAGAAGCAAATATCACTAATAGCTACAGAGGCTTAATTTAACCTAAAAATACCAGGACCCTTTCACGATCTCTACACCTGAGTATTCTGAGAATCTTTCTGTACTCTTGTGGAGAGATCCAGAAACTGGGAGCACAGATCAGCCTCAGCTCAACTCCATCCTGTCCTGGAAGGAAGGTCCTTTACCTTCACTCCAATCAGCTGCTGTACCACTGATGCAGAGCACAGGACAGCACTGGGGTTCAGCCACAACCATTCTATACCCTCAAGGTTAAAATTTTAAGATTTTAATTGCTGGCCCAACTACTGTGCTGAACATCAGTTAATTTGCTACATCATTGCTTAGAGGAACTGGTCTAATACTGCAGAGCTATACAGGCCAGCTACTCAGTAATTCTGGCTTCCAACTTAGAGCACAAACCAGCTGCCTGAGCCTTGTGACACTCTGCAGCAGGATTTCAGATGGAAATGCTGCCATGGAACAGGATTCAAATCTGACTCTTGCAACTACTTGCAAGAATCAAGGAAGAAACATTTCTGCTCTTGAGAATATATTGCTTAATTATTATTACAAAAGTAATTCTCCATTGAAACAACCATGAAAACAGAAGACTTCACTGCTTTTGCACTACAAAACCAGTTTTACTACTTACCTACAGTGCACTGGCCAGTTCTTTGCAACAGCTCTTCCACAAACATAGTCTGGTATAATTAATTTCACAAGAAGTAACAAAAATTGGCAAAACATTTCCTTGTACCAAGCTCAGATCCAGAGTTACCAGCTGTAAGATTTGTATGTGTAGCAAGTTCATTAGTAATGTGATGAAATAATGCATGGGATTAGGCATTATACGATTCACTTCCTCTTCAGTGACAATCACAGAATCACAAATTCATGGTATGATATGCTGATACCACACTGGTAATGTATCATCTGACTTCAACTTAAGAAATCAAACAAAGACTGTGGCTTTCTGGTATTTCAATAAAACTATAAACCAAGTGCAGATGTGGTGAAAAACACAAAATAAGTTTGAGAAAATAAATTTTTTCAAGAGCTGGTTTGGTTTTGGTGATAACCATTACAGGAATTAGATCCCAAATATTTTTGTTCTCATAATGTTCTCCATTTTAAACTGGAAATAAAAAAGAAGAAATTCAGAGGGTATCAGCAAAACCAAACATGTTTCTATCTTCTGTTCTCATCCTTAATTTGTTTCTTTGAAAGAAAAAGGGACACAGATGCAAACCAGCCATTGCTTGCCCTGTGATCTCTTTAACAAGGCCCAGCAGGAAGATACTGCTTGTGCTGCTGGCCAGTTAGAAGAACTCTCATTAAATCATGTAACTGTCCTGTGGTTTACAGCTGGTTTGTGGATGAAAACTGATCACTGCTGATTAGGTTTTCAGCCAATAAAAGTTTAAGAGATGTGTGGAATCTTGTAAACTGTACAGCCCAGTACAATTGTTGGTGCAGAGTCACGTAAAAGGAACAAGATGAGACATTTAAGTAAAACAAACTTTTCTTGTTTAGATAATAATACTTACATCTCCTTCAAGGCTGAGCTTGCTTAAAATTTCATGAACAGTGGACATCTTGAAAGAATGCTGGAGGAAGAGAAAAAAAAAGACAAAGTAGATTTAAATATATTTATAGTTACATCAGTGTGTTCCACCAATCTTGAAGCAGTGCAGCACTTCAAGTGACACTGTCCAGTGGATTTGCTAATACCAAGCAGCAAAGAAGATTTAAGAGTTTCCAAGCCACACCACCATTATTAATGCAACAAGAGGTCTTCATTACAATGTACAATAAAAATTCCTTAAACAATCATTTCTTCTGCATTTTAAATACTCAAACAGGAATCTGAGAAATCTCTGCCTCAGAAACAGAGCTGCCTAAGCTGACAACTCAGTACCAGGAAAATTATTCAGAAATATTATAACTTGGTCCAGCTCAAAGTCAAAGAAGAGCAATGAGTAGCAGCATTTAAAGCACATGCCCAGTTCCTCAAGTACTCAGGAAATGCAGTGGAATTATTTCTTTTCTTGCAGGCATTTTACAAAACCATAACCCTGTTTAATCTTTAACCCTGTTGTAGCTCTCCAGAACAGACACCACTTAGTAACATGATTATCAAAGAAGAGGTAAGGACTATCTTAAAATGGTAGCTCCAAAAAAGAAGAGCCATTGTGGCATGTTAATCAATATCAGTGCTCCATTGCCAGGATCTGAATAACATCTTCCTTGTATATGGAAAACAACAGGGAAAATCCCAATCCTGAGAATGGATTATATACATGGCAGAAATAAACACTGATGTGATAAATTGATGTTACAATACTTTGCCTTTTTTCAACTCTGGATTCTGTTCAGGGAGTGTGCCAGAGCTGTATCACTGTTTTAGATAAAGAGTCTCTCAGTTAGGGAAAGTTTTATCCAAAGGTTGTAGGCCAGGGGCAATATGTAAAAGGCTTGATGCATTCCCAAAACCCTGCTCTCAAATTTCTCTATGGAAAGGACAGACATTGGTATGCACACTGCTACCCAGTCACCCAGGATGGCTGTTGAAATGAAAGCTTTTTTCCCAGGACCTCTACAGTCCAGCTGCAGAGAGCATTATCAAACATGGAAACGAGCTGGTTTAGGAGAGGACAGGAGAAAGGGCAGCAGCACCTCAAAACCAGAGACGTTCCATTAGCTGGTAAGTGAGCCCGATACTTAAATTGCCCTGCTTTCAGCTGGGTACCACGCCCTTCATTCTACACTGTCACCGGTTCCCCAGGCCAGCGCCTTGGCTCCATGCCCCCCAGACAACTCCCAGCTATGGTGCAGCCAGTGCTGGCTATGTTCTCTCATCTGGCTTTCAGATGGCTTTTAATCCTCCATCAGTCACCCTTCTGATAGGATGGGGTTTCCTCAGCAGCAGCCACCCAGGTCAATTGCCCAGAGAAACCAATCTCCTCTCCATCAAAGACCAATTAAGAGCTTGGAGAACCAGAAAAGTTTGAAATAGTTTCTTGATAATAGTGATCTGGTTAAAACTCTAGGAAAGGTGTTTTGTTCCTGTTGTTGTTTTGTTTGTTTTAGCTCCTGTAAGGAGAAAAGCTAAGAAATCTTTACTTTTGGCAAAAATAGCTAGTGCTACAAGAATAAAACACAGCAGCAAAATCACAGTACATTTGTAGTGTAACTCCTGTTATCTCACATTTCCTCACTTAGAACACAAAGAGAATCTTCCATTTTCTGAAACAGAATCTTCCATCTTCTGAAACAATCTAATTCTAAGTAGAAAAGTAACTTTATTTCGACAAAAAATAAGATTCCAGGGGAAGAAAAATAAGAGAACAAAATGACAGTCATGCACTGATATATTTGAGAAGAAATGTTTTTTCAGGGGTAAAATCCAACCCAGCCTCTAAAGACAGGTTGCAGAAGTTATAATAAGCTGTTACCTGCTGTTGGCATTATAAACCGTGCTGGGTAGAGGGAATTGATATATATTCCTGAGTTATGAAATTCCTAATGTTTACACTTCATAAAATGAAGAGCCTCTGAGACCTTTGTACTCTGACAGTATTTCAACTATTACCAAAGATAAGCAACTGAAGTCCTTCAGTCCTTCTTGTCACAAAGAAAACATCAGTGAGAGCTGAAGAAAGCAACTGCAACATAACCTTTCACATGAAAAAAAACCCAAAATCACTGAACAGCTTTTTGCAAGACTACTGTTTCTAAATCAATTAAATACCACACTGAATCAGGTTTGTTGGAACAAAGCACTTGATCAGAATCCAGGAACAGAACTAACACACCCTCACATAGAGCTGGAAGTCCAGGTTCATATCACCAGAACACAACAATGCTATAGCAACTGATTGCCCATCAACAGCAAGCTGGCAAAAGGAAAAGAAAGGGAGTTCTTGCAAGAATCCTTACAGAGAGAGATTTTTTGCCCAGAGAACAAACACAGCTCTTGTCACACCCTGCTCTGTAAAGTGTATTTGAGAACAGACTCTCACTGTTCTCTGATGGACTGATTTTATCTGATACAGTTTTGACAAGTTCTGGATGGGTTTGAACATGTAAAGAGAAAATACTTGCACTAGCCTGTTCTTCCTTACACTGGAAAGGAATCAAGTTTTACCTTCCAGCTGTAAATGAATACTTCAATACCTTAAGGCAAGTTTCTACAACCAATTTCTAAATGCACATTACACAATCCTGAATCATATTATTCTGCTAAAACAGATGGCATGTTTTGACCTCAGCCTTCCCAGAAGGCACTGGTTTACAGCTCTGTTATTATAGTGGCCCAGTCTCTATTCACCAACTGATCCCTGAAACTCTTTGGAAACGAAGAATGTGTGTTTAAAAGTGGCCCCATATCTTGATTTCCAGGGCCAGCTCACACACATTATGGAAAATCCCCCTGTGATCCATGGAAAAGTTTCAGGTATGCACAAACAACTGCATTGCTCAATAAGCAGAATTAGCATTTTAAGAAGCACTTATTATACTAGGCAGAGATATGAGCGAAGGGTGTTCCCAGACATCTGAGCCAAGCAAACGGCATCCCTGGAATGAGAGAATGGAAACTCTTCCACTTGGAGCACATTTGTGTCCACAAACTAGGGCAAGCCTGTTAACAGAGATGAGGGAGAGTGAGGAAGACCTGCAGCATCTGCAGTAATTTAAACAAGGACTCAAAAAAATTCATATATATACAGTGCTAAGCAGGAGTACAAATAGGCCAGGCTACATCTCCCCAAATCATCCAATAGGGTTTAGCACATAACTTAAATCCACTATTTGGAGAAAAAAAATCTTCTTTAAAGAAAAGCATTTCAAAATCCATTAAACTGCACTACCACAAACATACTTGAACCATTTTCTTCCACAGACATTGCTAATAACCCAGGAAGTTCCATTCCAGGAAGATACCATGCACATACAAAATTAAGGACTTCTGTTTCTTCAAACTCAAGTTATTCTCACTTTTGAGACTTTACAAGAAAACCTCGTTGGGTTTGGTTTTTTTTTTTTTTTTTTTTTTTGGCTTTTTTTTTTGTTTGTTTGTGGTTTTTTGTTTGTTTGTTTGTTTTTTTTTGTTCAGCAAGGCAAACTACACCAAATATTGGCCAGTGGAAACCCTACCCACTAGGGCTGTTTATTGAAACTAGCGCTAGTAGCAGAGGGCACACACAGGGATGAAACACTCAAGGGCAAACTGGTTCCAGTCTTTCACTCTTGTCCTGTACATCCGGGTCTGCACTTCTGTGCAGATAAAGCATTTGAATATGAACATAAGAACTAATGTTAAACAGAAGTAAAAGTAAAGTACAGCTGCTTATACATTTCTACATAACTATGCTGAAATCATTTCACTTCTCGTTCAGTTAAAATACCTGGCAACATTCCTCTACCCTACTTCCCCTCCTCACTCGAGGGGGAAGTGGTGGCCGAGCTGACTCACAATCCAAAAGGCAGCAGCAGCAGGATCTCCGCAATTCTGCTCGGGGCCGGGCAGGGTGGGGGGCAGAGCCACGCCCAAGCCTGGCCGAGCGAGCCGGGAGGCGCACGGGGCTCCGCGGCGCATCGCGGGGAGCGCAAAGACAACGCCCGGGGAGCGCTGCCCGCCCGGCACTGCCCGCTGGGCTTTGCTGCTGCCGAGCCAGCGGCTGCACCCTGGGCGAGAAGGGAAGGGGAGGGAAGGGGAGGGAAGGGAAGGGAACCGAAGGGGCCGCTGCCCCTGGCGGGCTCGGGGCTCCGCCGTGCCCGCGAGAGCAATTCCAGCCTCACTCCAACTGAATGAACACCGCCTTGGCTGGCCGCCACAGCTTCTCTGCAAGCCTCCGCACCGAGAAGCGACCTTACAGTACTATGGTCAAGCCAGCCGAGCCTTTGTGTACCGTAACGACGAGAAGAAATTACTATCTGGGGAAGTTTGGAGAAGTTTGGGACCGGTTCTCTTTCCTGAGCGCTGTCGCCACACCACCCGGAGTTGCTGTGAGGCGCACGAAGCTTCCCGAGGGCTGCCTCGCCCGCAGCCCCACCGCCCCAACCGAGCACAGAAAAGTAACAGGCGGGCAGGGCCAGAAAAGTGGAACCGAACACGGAAAAGTGACAGACGGGCAGGGCCAGAAAAGTGGAACCGAGCACGGAAAAGTGACGGGCGGGCAAGGCCGGAGGAAGAGGAGCCGGGCGCGGGAGGGCGGCGGCCGCCGCAGCCACCGCCCCGCTCCGCATCCTGCCCGCTCCGCTCCCGCCGCAGCAGCGGCTCCCGCAGCGCGACCCCCGCCCGCGGCCCGGCCCCGCGGCGGTGCCGCCTCCCCCGCTCCTGCTGCGCTGCCGGGGCCGCGCTGCCGCCTCGGGCTCACCTGGCTGGGGCGGGCTGGGCGGCTCTGGCGGCGATTCGGGCGGCTCTGGCAGCAGCTGGGGCCCGCGGCAGCCCGGGCGGGGTTTTGTAGGGCCGGGCGGGCCCTCCCCGCCCCGGCGCCCCCCCCGGCACGGCGCTGACTCACCCGGCCGCGCCCGACTCCAACGCAGGGACGGGGATGGGGTGGGCAAGGGTAGGGCAGGAGCAGCCTCTCCCTCCGCACCCGTGCCCTGCCGAACGCGCAGAGAGATGCCGAAGTTGCAGCGACGCCGGGGCAGCACCCTGGGCTGCAGGGGTCGGGGCTCAGTCCTCACCCCCCAGCACCGCTTTTCCACCTGCCCGCTGGCCGCCCACCTTGCAGTGCCACCCCCAGTGCCTCCGGGGAAGGCGGCCCGGACCCTCCCCCCAGCCCTCGCCCCAGCGTTCCCGGTGCAGCAGGTGGGTGTTTGCAGCCCGGGCTTTGGGTTCCTCGGAGCCGCGCGGCTGTGACAGCGCCGGGCTCTCGGGGCAGAGCACAGCAGCCGAGTGCCAGGTGCCCAGCACAGGGCCCGCACCTCGAACGCCCCCACCCCGGCAAGCCGGGCACTCCCGGTCCCGCACCGAGAACTGTTCATCCGCAGCAAACCAAGATCCCTACAGTGTGCAGGTGGGGCCCAGCCTGCTTCCTGCAAGCCGTGCTCAGAGTTCAGGGGTATCTGAGCTGGGAGAAGCCTAAATGACGTCTGACACAAGCAATAAAATCGAGAAGAATGAGACACAAGCTCTGCTCTGAGGCTGACTCATTCTCATGCTCAGATAACCCGAACAGGCCTACCACACCCAACACAAGGACAGGAAATCAAAGCTTCTCCCAGCCGGGTAGTGAAAACTCAATTACAGAGTCCAGATGTTACACTTGTAACAAAGGACAAATATAGTTTAAAAGTATTTGCAGATCTTCAGCTGGATCACTTGAGATGATGTTTCAACTCAACAGCGTGAACAACTGACGTTAAATGCTGCAGAAAAAAGCAAGCACAGCCCACTCCCAATACCAGCAGTTATTCCTGTACTTTCAGCGTGGTTTTCTTAATCCCTGCAGGTGAATAGATGGACATAGTTCTTTCAAGAATATGTGCTCACTCAGTCAATTGGATTCTGCAAAGAGATATTTGTCTCTACTACTAGAAGTATTTTTTGTAGGCATAGACAGAGAGAGCAGACACGGAGTAAAAAAGTTTTAGGCTTAGGCAGGTGCATAAAAACAGCAGTGGTAAAAGCTGCAAACACAAAAGAGACAAGAACACAGGCTGAGAGACACAGGCCATAACTGCTAATCTGTAACAAGATCAGCAGTATTAAAAGGGAGAAATATTGGGAAAATTACATTCGACTTCAAACATAGAAGCAACAGAGTGGACACATGAACTGGTCACTCCAGGAAGGTGAAAATAATGTTAATACACCTTTTCTGGTTAAACAGAAGTGACATAAAGGGGAGAGCCACAGGAAAAGGCATATCATGGAGCAGTATTTTGTCAGAAAATGCCAGTGCCAATATTGCATTAGTCTGACATTTTTGGCAAGGCCACTGTGGTTATTTCTCTGTATATTAAGGAACCTGTCTTTCAAAATTAATTCCTGGCTATCCCACTTCAACCAATGTCTGTCACTAGCACTGTCACTAGTAAAATAATTTCCCCCTGCTTTTCAGATTTCTTAGGAAAAAAATATATCACTAGCAACTTAGAAATATTATTCAGAGATCAAAAATACTTACAGTCCTAGAAGTAACAACCATTCTGTATTGCAGTGTTCATTAGAGGCTTTAAATAGGGATATGCAGCCAGAGAGCCAATTTGTCTCCTAATGGCTGCATAATCCCTGAGGGACAGTTTTTTTAACCCCCATTTCTTGTCAAACATTCTTAATACAAAAGCATGCACACACACACACACACCACAACATCCTCAGCTAAAGAGAGTGTTTTCAAACATATACATTACATTTTTGTGTACAAACTGCTGAGTCACATATTAGAATTGAGGAGGAACATAATAATTCTCTAAACATTTATCTTTCAGTCCTCTACTGCAGCCTGTTTCAATAACAGTACTACTTCCACTTCCTTAGAAATTCATCTTTTTAACAATTCAATACATCTTAAAATATGAAATAGCTCATATACCACCATTAATTTTGGCTAACTACATCTTCATATGAACAGTTTGCAAGTTTGATATCAAGCAAGCTATTATTATAATCAACAGCTTCAGAAACGTCTCTAACATCCAACTCAATCATCAGTTATTCGGCCTCAGAATCACACACTGACCTCAGTCCAAAACAGACAGGAGCCTCTCTGAACTTATACAAACTTCAGCGACTGCTGAAGTGAATTCAAAAGAAGAAAGACTGACAATAGAAAAACCCCAGTACATTCAGAGTCATGAAGATACAAACATACCCAAACACGTTACAAATTCCCTCAATTGTTCTCTGTATATGTAGGTCAACTGACATCAAAGGCACTTTTCCCAGCTGGGGAATTTAAGTAGTATGAACAGCAGAAAATAGTCACGCTTTTGGCAGAACAACCAAACCCTAAAAAACAAAGCCATTGATCCTGCCCATGGAAATATTATATATTCTTCATACCTTCATGGAAAATGTCTGCAAAACCAATGATTTAAGGAAGGCAGCAATCAGACTGAGCAAACAGGAAAGCCTTCTGTTATCTGCCAAAAAGGAAAAGGGAATTAATTAATGGGAAAACAGCAGCTAAGTGCCTGTATCACTTTTTAAAATGAGACCTAAGCCTGTATGTCATATAAGATACTTCTGAGGATTTACCCACAACTTGGAGAGTTTGTATAGCACCTATCCCAAGGAGCTCTGGTCCATGAGCACTGCTCCTGAGCACTACTGCAAGCTTTAGGCTGGAAAAAGGGCTGAGACAAGGACTGCACTTACTGCAAGCCCAGTGTCTCTGTGTCTGCCTCACGGGTATTTACTGGAAGAAATGTGCTTCAAATAATAAGTAAGGCAGTGCCAAGAATGGTTTTCAATTTGTTTTCGTTGTTTGGCCCCTACACTCCCTTAAAGTATCTGCATAAAAGGTGGTATTTTAAATTGCCAGCAACTTGTTCAGCTGCAATTCCCTATTTGTGACCTGGCTTCTTGCATGCTGACCACAGCGATCCAAGACAGCACACTTTGCTTGGCTGGGGCTGCAGAGAGTCCTGTGGATGGAAAAACAACTATAATTGTGCCAGCTTCCCTTTCTTCCCTTCTGACTCTTCTCTGTGATTGAGCTTCAGCCTGTAGTCTGTGGACATGCTGTAGGTTCATTTGTTCTATCTTGTCAGTGAAGTTATCATTGCCAACTCCACCGTTCCTTTGTTACTGATTAGTATTGTTTGATACTAATGTTATCTTTTTTTCCCTGCCTCTCTCAATTCAATATACTATTTTCTTCTACCTCACCAACCTCATTTTTTCCTGTCATTATCTTCTTATCATATTACTGGAGGCTTGATGTGCCTAACTTGAATATTCAGTGTAAGTTCCCCTCTGACCCAACCTGATCTTTGCAAGAACATCCTTGCATATGGGGTCACTCCAGTTGATTTTTCTCTCATTTCTATTTTGTTCCTCCATCTACCCAGATCTTGCTCACCTCTTTCAGGATGCTGTCTACAAACAATCAACACTGCATTAACACTGAAGGTATGAAGGACACAATTCTGTCAATATGTATTGCCTACTTAAACTTGTTGCTTCAATTAAAAGAGAGGGGAGGGATCAGGAGAAAGGACTTTCTGGTCTAGGTGTGACTGAGCCTCTATCTAGTGTTGCTCCCTGTGTTGCAAGAGGATAATATTAATTCCATTCTAATAAGCATATGGATCAGGCAGACCTCTGGGTGTTGTTTTTGCATCTTGATTATTTGTGTCTAATTTGGGAACTGCCATGATACAAATACACACAGATTTGTTATTACCTCTCATGATAATTACAGGTTACAAAGACAGTTAAGTATAACTTAAAAGTTGTGCTAGTTGGGTTCCCAGGGTAACACTTGGGAAGTTATGTCTATGGCTACAGATGAAAGAAGGAAGGACTCCTGCTTAGCACACCTACACTGCATTAGTAGAACTCTATAAACACTGAAAGAGTTGTTTTGCTAGGAGAAGGGGGGTTGTGTTCTGGGCTGTTTGGATTTTTAGGGGGGTGGAGGTAGCTTAAATATTACAGAATTGTAATCCCACATTTTTGAAAAACAGACTGAATACCAGTATACCAATGCCAACTTTTATCTAACACAATACCAGAGAACCAGACATCTTGTTAGGTGCTCCATCTAACAACCTAAGCCCTCGGATCAACTGTATTCTGTGCACTGTCATTCCTACACTACATGCACATTCCTGCACAAATGTTAGTCTCCACTCAGAATTTCATTTACTTGAAATAATCCCTTTTAAAGAGCAAGACTTAATTTCTGGAATGAACTTCTGTGTTGGCCAGATCTCTAGTATTTTGTTACGTGTGTGTTCTACAAATGAAGTTATAATAGGTAATGTGGCTGGCATTGGCTGGTTCAGTGTGGGAACAGAGAATGAATGTAGGTATAAGCAGTGTATTTATGAACAGATCATCCAGGTTTAACACTGGCCCCTTGGGCTGGCTGCCTTGCAGTGCTGTGGTTTGCTGTATGATCCTAGACTGTTGCCTTCTGACTGATCAGGCCCCATCTTTCTACTGTTAAGTCTTCAGAGCGAAGTTTAAGCATTGCATTTGCTAAAGAAAATGGAAAACAACATTAATTACTTCATCAAGATACAAAAATAAATTAGATTCATCAAATAGTTTCCAGTTTATCTTCATTTCACAAAATTCCTATGTTACCAGAAAGGTGATGTAACCTTGTTTAAGGCGTGTATTTTAGCAATCAGTGTGACTGACAAAGATATGACATGTCTGACATGCCCTGAAGTTACTTCCCATGCAGAATCTCCAAGTGCCTCTCCTAAGAGCCTGACAGCAAAGTCTCTTCAGAGCTAGTAAAACAGCTACCTCTCCACCAGATGGCTGCATCTTGAAGGTGACTACAAGTCTCCTTTTATATTCTTTTTTATATCCTTTTATATCCTGATACTGTTTCATCACCAGATTTCCCTTCAGCTACTTCTCAAAAATTGTGTCTGCTGTTCAGTTCCCCTCTTCTGCCACCTTCAAGCGTATCTGACTACAACAGCCTGAAGTCTAACTTCCTGTCAACTGTTCTCTTAGTTTGAGCTCTAACTTATTTTCAAATATAGTCTTTCTCACCAGTGTAAGTAACACCACCATGCTCATTCTTTTATCTTTCCATCTCGGTGGATCCTTCAACCCCAAGCCTATTGGCACATGGAGTTTGCCCCCACAAAAAGCCAGACGCTTGAGTGACTTTGGATCCCAAATCAAGACAAGGGAATAACAAAGCAAAATACTAGCTAAGATTATAGTTACAGACAGAAGAAAACTCCTTTAGATACTCACAAAAGCAAATAACAAGCAAAGCTGTCTTGGGACAGACATAGAACCTAAATAAAGTCTCTATCACTTGAAAAAGCTCCTGAAGTTTAGGTCATTGTGGTGTATTCGTTGCACTGGCTGTCCACTGTTGAAGGCAAAGAACATGGAATCATTTGTGCTCTATCAAGATGCTCAGAAGGAAACAAACCCCTTTATTACTCTCACCTGGCTGACACAGCTAACACAGGTCACCAAATTCAGTTGTGTTGTAGGCTTGTCCTCCTGACTCAGCCCAGGCTACTGCACCTTCTTTCCTTCTGTTTGGCATGAGAACTAGAGTAAGCCAGAGAGGTTTGCACATTAAGTGACACAGAGACCCAGCCAGGAATATGCATCACAAACAAATGTAAACTAGCAACTTGGATAACAAGTGTAGCAAAACCTAGAAAAGTAACTCCTCTGGCATTTGCTTCTGATGAGTGTCATTTGTATCTGGAGCTCAAGTCCATTTCTAACCTCTACTGTGAATCACCAGCAGTTTGTGGTTTTTCAAGGCACCTCATGGGAGTAATCGTCTAGTGACTCGCAGAGGTCTCCTAGCTACACACAAACACAGAAATGAAACACTTGCCAAACCCCTTGTACCGGTATAGGAGACTTAAATAAACTCCAGCATCTTTGCACTGAATGAAAGAATAGCAGGATATAGAAACAAACAGTCACTATGTGTGTAACTATGTTTCAGTGCATTTCCCCAGTCCCTGGGGACTTCCTGATGCCCTGCTTGAGAGCCAGCTGCCTTTTCATGCAAAGATCACACAGTCCGAGACAAAACCAGGACTGTAAAGCCTTGTCAGATATTCAAGTTTACTTTCTGTTCTCAGATTAGCATGAATACACTCAACCACAGTTTAATGTATCTGAATCCAGGTATGATGCTGTCTTTGGTCCTAGAACCCATCCTTTAACTGGCAACTAAAAAGATCAAATCTCAAAACCAAACCCACTATGCTAAGTTCAGCTTTCTCAGTAATATCAGCACAATGCTGCTCAAATAAACAGGCTACCAGTACATATTACAACATTAAGGAGAGATTTTGAACCCATTTAGATATCACAGTGCTTAAAACTACTGCTAGCTCTAAAGTAATGCTCCCCAGACCGACACCACACTGGAAAACACTGTAGAAATTATTACCAGTGCACGTAGGAGCCCCTGACATCATCCAGAGCAGAGCAGCATGAATAATCACTGCAGAGTTTTTGGCCTGTCTTGCCAAAGGACAGAAACAGCTACAAAAGATGGAAGCTGCCAAAAGTCCTCAGGGAATTTTTTCCTAGGAATAGTGTTAAAAAGCTTTAAGTCTGTTGTGCTTCATTGTTTCCCATCATTATGTGCTCTTTCCACTTTAGTGACTCATAACACAAACAGTCCCATGGTTTGTATTAGTCTCCTGGCCTCTGCCAAAGTACTGGGCAGGCTGTCACACCTTCAATATGTACCTAAGGATTCTGGGGAATAATTCTGAAAGGTTCAAGGAATCTAATTAAGCACCACCTAAACTTACTCTAAAAATGCTTACACACCAGGTTCCTATGGCAAATCCACAGTCTGCTAACTACATACTGCAAAAATTATCTCCTTGTTGTTTAACATCATGCCACCAGGAATGACCCAGGAAAATTAATTTTAACATCACTTACAGTGAGAAGTTCTTTGAGAGAAGTCAATATACAATTTCTACAGCAATCTGGAACACAGCTGGAAATTTTCAATTAAAATCAATGATTCAGTGAAATAGCAAGAAAGGGGTTTTTTGTGGCTTGTTTCAAAACATATCAACTTCGCTTTAGTACGAAATAGCATAAACCACAGGATTTTGAGAAAGTTCTTGCATGATCTGAACTTCATTACCTAAATTAGGACCAGCTGAGGTACCAGCTGGGCATGAATGATGCCTTGCAAGACAAAGGAATGTCAAAGATTCCGAATTACACAGTACTGTCTACACTGTTGTTTTTGTTGCTCTTTCAAGTGGCATCTTATGGCTTTATAGAAAAATTAAGGCAAGGAAAGTTGACTTCAAAAAGCTGTTAATTGAGTGGCTTCTACCAAGAGATTCGTTTCTGCCAGGCAGGCTAAGACTTGTTTTTCCAGGTCAGAAGCACAAGGTCTGAATTCTAAAACCAAAAATCTCTTCCTCTAATGAGTAAGAAAAACTATATTAAAAACCTATTGTTTTAGCATGGAGTACACATAATACTCAACATTTTCACATCTGATTGCAGGTAAGCCTTCAGTAAACACTTCTACTGGAGCCTGGTAACTTTCAGTGCTGGGTCCTGCATGTCAGTAGCCAGTGCTCACATCAGGGACAGGTGAGAATACAGAATAAAAGGCTGCAGTGCCAACACAACTAGAGATAATTTTTCAAACAATTTCTCAACACTAAGGTTTATTTTTCTAATGCTACTACCCTCCAGGAAGTTATTAATACAAGAATGAGCAGCCATTGGTGTGTATAGAGAAACTGAGTTCAGAACAGCAGAGGAAAGGGCCCAGCTGGCTGATGAGCAAGGACAGACATGGAAAGCCAGCCAGCCATCACCTTCCTCTGGGGAGGGAGGCTGCACCAAAGAAAGCCTTGGCAAGGGTTTCCCAGTACAGAAAGTTAGAAGCCCAAATTTAAGCCACAGTCTGAAACATGCTTGAACACACACACACTCAGAGGAGCATGGAGCCACAGACATTCTTTAGGCCAAATAAATGTGTACAACACTTTATTGTCTCAGTTGGTCTGGGCTGGTAGAAAACCTATAAATGGAAGACAATGTATATCATGTGAATTATTTTCCCTGCACAGGACAGGAAACAAACTTATTTATTAATGTATCCACATGTAAATTTTATTCTTGGTATTTAAACAACCAAAGAGGCTGGTGACAGGTCTATTGACTCACAAGACGCTGCTTCTCCAGACACAGCAACAGTGTCAGTACAAAATTCTCTTCAGGTTTCTCAACCTTCATGTGCTGCTTTTGCACTAAAAAAGTCACTCTAATCAATCTCACTGTGCATTCTGCTTCGGTTACTTGCAAACAAGCTGAAGAATTTCAACTGTGATGCGAGCACTTGTTAATTTACAAATGGCTACAAAAGCTGCTGCAAGTAGCATGTGCAGCTTTGCAGTAACAATACCTCCTTTTCATTTTGTTACTTCTGCTATAAACAAACAAAGAATATCCAGAGAGCTGCACAAGGTTACTGTCCTCCTGTCAGTCAAGGGAACAGAACTGCAGTTAACTGCAAGGTTCTGAAATAAATAGGTTTTGACTGCTGAGGCAGCTTTTAACTACAAGACCTGCCTCA